CTTTTTTTAACATCTGCTCAAGGTATGTTGTGCGCATACCCATTATGGCCTTATATTATTTTGAATACGCACACGCAAGAACACATGATAGAATATATCTTTGAAACCATACAATTTGCCCTCGTGCACCAACAACCTCCCAGTTTTTGGTGCACTCGAAAATGCATCTTTCAATCCCCACAAAACAGATTATAATTTGCAACATCGTCAATACCTGACACGATTGACCACAATGAGAGCACGATAAACACAATTTAATAACATCGGCTCCATGTAATAGAAAATACGGGTCCATTTACATAATATTGTCATTGAAGCCAGACACTTCATTTGTCGTTTCCAACATATTGTGTCTGCCATTCTCGACACCTGGACCCTAAAATACACCATTCGTGACATCTTACGAGCATGGTCATGCATACCTTTACAATTTGTGTTCATCAAATAGAAGAAGTACAAAATACAGGACTATACATCACTTATTCACTACGAAACATTGGTTTGACTTCATTTATCCTCCACAACTAACCCTTGTCCCCCGCTGTCATCACTCAACTCGTTCGACGAGATGATAATTACCTCATTATGTGGGACGTAAGCCAGCCAGTCGTCGTCGCTTTCCCCCTCATATCCAGCGTCGACCTCGAAACCCTCATTGAGCACTCCGTTGGGTGATTGTGCACCCTCTGTCGGTACATCTTCCAAGTTCAAAAACAAAACGGGAGAAATGGCTCTCCTACCAATACGAGGCTTAGCTTCCTCATCGTCTGACGAAATGTAGATTGAAAATAACGGAGATGAATCGAAAACTGGTAACGGCTCATTGACGTTGAACGGTTCGGTGCTTCCTGTGGACGAACTCATTACGTCGATGTAGTAAAGTAATGATGAAACAAGTAGTGTGTGAGGACTTCTAATTCTCAGAATGGTATTCAACTAGGTTGTTTGTAAGGGACAATGAACTCATATCTTGTATTTATAAGCAAGAAGAATGGGGGAAGCAATTATGTTCATCATCTACCCAACTACCATGTCCAATCTCCTTGTCAATGTGAAAGCAATTGGTGTGATTATTCAATAAGTAAAGTGTACCTTTATCCCTATTTTCCCATAATTAGCAGGACCTATTAGGCTCATTTAATCATGTGTAGTATTAAGCAATGGGGATGTCCTGCAAGTAAAATATTGTAAAACTAATTTCTAGTTACTTGTACCATAGTGAAAAGGCTACAGGGTCTTGCCCGTATGCCTGATGATCTAAACGTACATGTTTGACGACACATCAAAAACAATGACAGAGACATGAACTCATTTTGTAACTTGAATGTCGTGGTTGTCATGGTTTTGACATTTTTAATGGCTCATCGTCCGAATTTTAACTAATATTATGAATGTACTTGCATGTGATAATTGATACAGTAACTTAGGACCCCTGCGGATATATGCCGTCGTAGTGCGAGCTAAGGGGCTTCATTGCAACACAAATACCTCTCTGTTCAAACATTTCAAATATAGGTTACTACACGTCCAGTTCGAACAAATATCACATCAACTCTTTCAAGTAGGCGAAAATTTTACACCCCAAACAAAAATATAAAATTCCACACTTTGTCACTGTGTGCTGCATCTCATGTACGTGCACCAAATATGACGTTTAGTTTACCGACCTTCGTCATAACGAGCTCCCATCTCTGCAACCTACGTTCAAATAAATGCTTTCAATTACAAATATAAGTAATAATTATCAGATTTTACTGTAAGGACCTCTATTTACTTTATAAAAAGCGTTTTTCTACCCCTTTTGACAGTAAGGATAAAGTAACAGGATCGGTCAGGATTTTTATTAACTCATAACTTCACTAGCCAACTACGTACTCTTACATTGACATTATTTTTCTCCACATGCTTGAAGAATACGAAAAGGTATGTGACGTTGAAGCTTCTCATTCAAGAAGGTAAATGTTAAATCTTTCAATCAATACCACACACTACCCTTTGTATTGGACAATATCTGACATATCAAATAATAGTTAGATCATGATTACGTAGTTAACATCCATACCTCATCAATTGAAGTCAAATCCATTCCATATTGCTTCATTGGATTGTCATACTTGTGAATTCTTGTCCCCCTTAAAGTAATCATTCTCATGATACAAACGTAGACGCCAGCGATGCAAGCAAGCTCAACAATTCAGTGAAGGTGCTGCATGTAGCCCAGCTTTGTATCATAGACGGGAGCAATAGCATTACCACAGGTGACCATAGAAGAAGCACCATGAAGAAAAAGCCAAGGATCCTACAGATAATAACGGGATGAAGAAAATAACTTAATTACCTAATAGGGAACCAGCTCTTGTAAAATAAATAAATATAGAGAGCGTAACAGTTCGGGAATCATTGGTTTTCAATTAAACAAGTGCCATGTCACCGGAGATATATGCAACTATGGATACCACCCCAAATTGTCACCAATCAACCCTTAAAAATAAAAATCAGTTGTAAAGAAAAACAATAATCTATCCTTACACACAAGCAAGAATCCATCCTTCACACATCCTATATAAATTTAGCAACTTACTTACCTTGGGATTACTGGACATTTAGCAATGCATATAAATGAGATGAGCTTATCGGTCAAACTCATAGAACCATGTATACCACTCTACAACAAAGTAAGTAATCGAACCAGTTTCAAAATGCCCCCTTCTGTCCAGTTCTACCAAAATCGCTACCAGCCTGTTCACGGAGAATAAGTTATGCAGCCGCTCAAGAAAGAAAGAAACTCGAAAAATAAGAAAGACACAATACGGCAAAAATACAAACTATCTAACCTTCAAATGATCTAGACAATATTGGGAATTCGTTTATTAGGATTATCATTTCTTATGTTGCCTGACATCCCTGCCTCACGACAGAATTCTAGCCAAAACGGCACATATGCAGCATCCTCGAGCTACTGACTCAAATGTGAAGAGAACACTAACATTAAACAATCTATATAATCCTCTACAACTGCATTTACGTAACTACACGTCCTCATTTTCAAAGTATCGTGGATAACCACTGCACACAACAGTTCAAATCACTGAAAAGCAGGTCAAATCACTGAAAACATGGAACAAAACAGAATAAGAAAGTTGACAGAAAATAAGATCGTCGTGGAAAAATGTACACCATCCCCGAAATATGCATGTACTGAAAGTCAAAATAAAATTATCCAGATTGTAGTACTAGTAGCTACAAGTGTTAGTAACATCCAAGACCGACACGACGTTCAACACGGACAACGCAAAATCTATTGAATGCGTGAAACCATTAGCACGGTATCTCAAAAGTAAGTAAAATGTAATGTTATACAAAAACCATAACAATGAATTTGTCCATGCAGTTAAAAATCCCAACTCGACCTCCACCAATCTAGTCACCATCCAAAAATGAGTACAAGACCATCGTCGTGCTCTCCGGCTAGTTCATAACATTTAATTCTTCGTTCTCTTTGCCCTCTCCCCGTATACGAAGTTTTGATAGCAACAGCCGATCGTCGCAAGCAGGCCGAGCGCCGTCTCATTATAGGAACTCCAGCTCGTGGTTCGAGTACCGGTCCGGGAGCTGAGAATTCAGTAACAACGCCTACAGAAAATCCAAACGGGCCATGTTAGTTACCCGAAACGCATGTGATCCAATGCATAATGGAACCACTACTAATATAGCCAATTAAATTACCATCACCATTCATCACATCACAACCCTCCGCATCGTCATCGTCATCATCATCGTCGTCCCTGACCTCATTCGAGGGCTCCTATATCTGACCAATACAACACATACATAAGTGCACATGCCGTTACATACAATCGAAAAAAACCCTCGTAAGGGATGCATGTACCTTGCACTTCTTCGGTTGCAACGACCACTGGCAGGTTGACATCGTCATGGTGTGGCGCAAAGTGTGCTGCGTCTGATGAGAACAATATTATAACAGTTTCATTAAAATAAAAGGGGCAACTTTCCAACCGTGCGAAGTCCAAGAAGTAATAAATTTAGATTGCACAAATGAAAAACCCATATACCTTGCATATTTCCTGTGTCAATTGGGATGTCCTGCTTGTCCGGGCATGGCTCCGCGGGTCCTCCATATACGTCTACGTCACTATTGTAACAAGAACAATACTATGTCAGACACAGGTATGATGACTATTGATGAACGTAGGTTAAGATTCTAAAGTAAAAGCTGTACGCAGGAAACATTCATACCTTCTGGCAAAGTACCTGAAATGGCGGCGTCCGTCGCAGCTGCAGCAGTGGTCGGACCAGCTCAGGCCACGAGGGTAGCTAAGAACTCTCGAAGACATGTACATTTCCAGCTCACGTGCTGTTCGATTTCAAGCTTCACTGTCCGAAGTCGTATTTCAAATAGGATTCTTTGGTGTAACATCAGCTCCTCCATGTCCCCTCTACTAAGGCCTAGTGTAGATGTTCTAACAACTCTTGCCTGTGTCATGCTCCATCGCTGTGGAGAAAGACCTCGCTGCGGTCGAGGTGAGAAAGAGGCACCCCTATCTCTTCCATGGGTGTCCTCACTGGTGCTGGATCAGTCACCCTCGAACTCGCCAGTATCCTCACTGTTGGGATCGCTGCCCGACGCACCTTTTTCCTCAACACCTCCGGACTTCTGCTCTTCACTGCTTCCTCCTTCAGATGCCTCCTCGTCAGAATCCTCCCTTCCCGTATGTCCACCATCGCAACTGCCGCCGCCCGATGCATTGAACTGTGGCACTACAACGGTCCTTGCAATGTCATCAAGAACCGAAACAGGGGGATCATCGTACAACACGAGAGTGGAAAAATAAGGTTGTTGAGCATCAGCATCGGTGGGACGCAGTGTTGCGTACATGTGGAGCTGCAAAATAAGGTTACAATACTCATATTAGAAGGCACAAGATTGTACCAAAACGTTCGAAAAGGAACTTGGGATCGTGTTCTATGTATACCTTGACATTCTTGAAGAATGCATCGTACGTACGATGCTGTAGCTATTTTCGTGCCGACCAGCGAAGAAGTCGTGCAGTCGTTCGCCTACTTGCTCATCAAAACGTTCCCCAACCTCCGGAAGCGCCTCGTACGCCCATACCTGTCGGAGCAAGAAAGAGAAATTAAATTTCGAAATATTCTAGGCACGACGCTACCGAGGGAAAATCAGGCATGCTACAATAGTAGAACGAATGTTCATACCTGCATGGCGATGGGGAAGCCGTAGACCGTGTAAGTAATCTCCTTCTCCTTCCTCCTCTTCGCCTTTTAGAATATTTTTGCCCAAGTACCCCGAAATCCGTGCAACAGACGCCTATATCCGACCCTACCCCAAGGGTAGGCAAAAAATATGTCGAGGTCGTCCACAATTGATAGTGTAGGCAAATGGATACCGACATTATTATTCGGAGCATTGAAAAGTCCCTCGAGAATTAGAACCAGCCCTAGCTTGCAGCGATTAGCTCGGGGCGTCAAAGATCGGGCCATAGCAGACTGGAGTTGAGCCAAAGAAATCTTGTCATTGGATTTAAAGTACCTCTCTTTCAACCTCCTCCTCTGTAGCACTCGTTCGTATTCAGCACCCTCTGGGAATGAACCGCATCTTAACCCCGTCACAAGCGTGTACTCCTGTAGACCAAATCTCGTGAGGTGCCCTTGTGTGCTGAACCATAGCTGCTGGATGAGTTGGGCAGAGAATTGAATAACCGGAACCTCGGCCAGATACCCGAGGGAGGAGTTGCGAAAGTTCTCCCGTTGCCGCTCATCGAAATGGTCCATCACAGTCTTCACCAGCTTGAGGTTGCTACATTACGAAATGTGGGCCTACAATCTTGCATCTTCAGGAATACGAAATTTAAACTCTATCATGCCTGTAAGGTGAATTGGAAAAAACGTGGTTACAGGATGAACATAAACAATTGTAACGTATATAGCAATTTAATGAAGATTTAATGAAGTGAAATAAACAATTTTAACGTATATAGCAATTTAATGAAGCGAAATCATGCGCCATAACAGTGAACTGTCGAGAGAAACTCAAGTCAACCGTCAGTATCGACAGATGATTTGTTGAGACATATGGATACCGACGGTTGGAGGGTTAACTGTCTAGAAAAACTGAGGTGAAACCTCGGGTACGACAGTTCGTTGGGAGTTGGTCTGCTTGCTAAACTGACATGTGCAAGTGAACTAAATTGACATGCAAGGGCAACGAATGAAATTCCCTTTAGTTCAAGACGACTGCAAATTATCGTGAACTAAATGGAAGGAAAAAATAACTGAAAAATACACAACTAAGCGAGAGGGAAAGAGAGAAGCTTACAGCTGTGGGACAACGGCGGACATGCTATTGCTTTGATATCAAACAGATAGATGTCCTCAACAATTAAACTGGACTACCTATACATGACAACACAACAATTGTGGCAATCACGCTATTGAACGAAACAACGAATTGAACATGGACAATTTATGGGAAAAAACAAGTTAAACTAAAAAGTAATTTACAAATTTTCCCTATGAAATCAATATCATTAATAATCCAGCTAAACAACGGCCTGTCAACAGATATGTACATTTTATAAACTTCTTCCCAAGTAATTTTCAAATTGTACAACAATTGCCTGAAGTATAATATTTTTTCTCATACGTAATTGCCCGAAGTATAATTTAATTCTACAAGTTCGTAAAGTATAATATAATTCAACAAGTTCCACATCAAGGTACAATTCTAAATGTTATCGATAAAAGTCATCCTGCAAAAAGTTGTTTTAATATATTTCTTTTCACAAGTAAAATTATAGTGGAGTGCATTGTGCATCTCAGCATGCTTAGGACTAGATGTCTAACAAAAGTTGGAAAACAAAAAGGTCATTTCCATAGATTATGAAGAAATGCACCACAAGTTACACGGCATTTACTGGAATGTCAACAATTGTTAAGGTAAATACTTCCATTAATAGTTTCCTCATTTGAATTGCACAAAGAACTTATGTTATGCTCACAAACAAAATGACATTCCTTGAAAATTAAGACACTTCCATTTTAATTATTTCTCATTTCATTTGCTCAAAACATTCACGTAATCTGAATTTTAGATGTTGCCCAAATCAAACAATTCATAAAATTTGGATGTAATATGATGCGTTTGAAGATTAATTAAATATAAATAAATAAATGTGACTCAAAACTTTAATTTTTAAATAAATTAATTACTAATATTCCCAACCAAGAATAACAAAATACATTTATATCTAATGCTTAAATTTTAATTAGCATTGCTGTATATTTATTTTATAAAAAGGACCGTATTTAAACCTAAAACTTTATTCGAGTGGTGACCTAATGCCTAAACCAAGATATAAAAATGTTTTTAAAATTTAAGCTAAAGTAATACTATTTCATTCATACATCCGCATGTCCAAAATATCAACTTCTTGGATCCATACATGGACCGATATAAAAATCCTTTATTTCAATAGGTGTAGGTAAGTCGGTAGCTTCAAACGTAATTTCATGATCATAGAATTATTTACAAAACTCCATAATGCGATTACAATTTATAACATGTTGATGTTACAAATATAAATTTCAAAATATAATAATATTATTCCCCTAATAATAATTACACACCTATAAAATGCAAAAACTAAATTTAAGGTTTAAAACTAAATTTTATATGTATTCTTTCTGTTTGCAATGATTTAGGGCCGTGTTCCATTTTTCCTATGTTTTTCTATTTCTTTCCATAAAATCTTGAATACTTACTGAACAAACGAGAGATTATTATGGGTTGGCCAAAAACAAACAAAAAAACAAATTTAAAGCATAAAACAAAAATTCCAAACCAATTTATACAACATGGAACTCACGAAAACCCTTTCTGCAATTTGAGAATGGCAGAGTACATTTTCCATGAGCCAATAGCATTGATTCCAGTACAGTTAAAAGATTTAGGGCTGTGTTCCATTTTCCTATCTTTTACTATTTCGTTCCATAAAATCTTGAATACTCACTGAACAAACGGGAAATAATTATGGGTTGACCAAAAACAAAAACAAAAAAATTTTGAAGCATAAAACAAAAATTCCAAACCGATTTATACAACATGTAACTCATGAAAACCCTTTCTGCAATTTTAGAATACCAAAGTACATTTTCCATGAGCCAACAGCATTATGGGTTGGCAAAAAACAAAAAAAACAAAAAAAAAAAAATGCTCTCCCACCAAAGCTAGGAACAGTCCATTGAAATACCAATATATTTGGTTAAAGGATCCAAAGGTAAATTTTCTCACATAATTTAACTTCCTTTGTTTGAAACTTTGATCCACAATAAATCAAAACCATCAACTCTAAATATCTATTTATCAATTTTTCCATCTAATCAAACTCTTTTTTCCATTCAATAAAAAAACTGTCCCACTTGCATTTAATTCATTCAGGTGCTTAAATTTTGAAATCTCAAATGTATCTCATTCCAAATTATATAAATGAAAGGATGTAAAATATTGAATTTCTAAACATACAAATCCTCCATTCTCTTTAATAAGGAACACCATATCAATTAGATTCTATATCCAAATACATTGTTTTTCTGCTCTATTCTCTCACACAGTAAACTTCATTTTCCTTTTTATAGGTTGACAACTTCCCGCCTCACATAGCACCTTTCTAGCTCCTTCCAGTTCCTGCTCTAAAATTCTATATGTAATCCCAACATTTATAATAAAAAAAACAACCCAAAAAATGTCCCACCTACATTTATACATAACCAACAAAAATATATTCCATCATCGAAAACTGAAGGTTCCAACCTTAATTCATTCATGATATGCATTATAACACAGATCACGCAACTGCTCTATTTCATTTAACATTATCATTCCACTTATATGTACTCATTTCCAAATCCCATAAAAATTTCCCTTAATAAAAATTATTTTCTGTCATGCCTTCTAAATCTTACCATAACACCTTTTAATTTAATGTTTATGCTGGGGAACAAAATTCAAGCTACATTATTCGAGAACCCTAACAAAAATTCCAAACCGATTTATACAACGTGGAACTCACGAAAACCCTTTCTGCAATTTTAGAAAACCAGAGTACATTTTCCATGAGCCAACAGCATTGATTCCAGTAGAGGTAAAAAATTTACACGGAAGCGAAAAAAAAGAAAGATAAAACCGAACCTGAAGATATCGTAGAGGACCTTGGACACCTAAGGTTCTGCTGGTGGTCTTCGATGGTGGGGCGGTCGACGATTGCAGCAAAACTTCCAATTTCGTCAACGATCGGGCGGTGGTCAATTTCAATGAGAGAGAAGAGTGAGATTGGGGATTTTGTGTCTGTCGGTTTGTCTTCTTTCCCTTTGTTTTCATTTCATGTCTTATTTGTTTTTTTTTTTCGTGGTTTGGTTTCAAACATTAATTGTCATTTCACTTGACAATTAACACAGTTTTGGTACAAGGACACAAAAGGTATTCTAATGATTCAGAGGGGCAAAATTGTTCTGAATTGACATTTTTGATAGACAATTTAAATTGTGACATTTTTGATAATTCATACCCAAATTTTGACACCCAATAAAATATCCTCATGTTAAAATTGCAATCGTATGGAATTGTAAATCAGAATTGAAATAAACCTTAATACTCCTACCTATCAAGCTATATGTTGTACAAATCACATGTCATGTCTACGTCCGTGCAACCTAGCGATGACACTTCCCCACAAAAGAACAAACTGCACAATACTATTAGCACGGTATGACCGAGGGAAACTCGTAATTATGCATGCAATTCAGGCACAGAAAAAGTTGCATTCTTCAAAGGAAATGCATAACATGTAGCACATTAATTATTGTTTGAATTGGAGAGAGAAAATAATATTTCTTCTTATTATTGAATATGCATTGATACCTATGTTATATAGAACAAACTAATGACTATACAAGGAAATATATTATTACAGAGAACAAATTAAGGAAATCCTATAATCTTGCATAATATGGATTGATTCTTTCCCTTTGAGGCTTAATACAGCTCATTTGACACTCCCCCTCAAGTTGAGCATATATGTCGTCCATGCCTAACTTGCTAATTGAGCTGTGAAAAACTCTTCCTTTAACTGCTTTGGTGAGTACATCTGCAAGTTGATCTTCGGATTTAACAAATGGTAATTTAATAATCTTAGCCTCAAGCTTTTCTTTAATGAAATGTCTATCAACTTCAACATGTTTGGTTCTATCGTGTTGCACTGGATTATGTGCAATGTCAATTGCAGCTTTGTTGTCACAATGTAATTTCATTGCATGTTTAGGTTCGAATCCCAAATCT